TCACGAACCTGTCCTGTTTGCTTGATTTTTTTCAGTCACTAATCATCCTCATTAGCTAGTGACCTTTAAAAGCCATGCAATGCCGACAACTAGCTGTCAGATTATTAAGATTTGCTCGCGACTCTTTTTTCCAAGTGTCCTTCCTTATAGCTTTTCACCATGTCCTTACATAGTATTTTTCAAACAAGTATTTTCTTGTTATCTATTCCTGGTTTGTATTTTCGTGCATTGGATTCTTTTGCCATTTTTTATTCTTTTGTCCTTCGAGTAGAAAGCAATTCACGCTTTTCTCATTCCTTGCCTTTTGCAAACATTTTCTTTTTGTTCTCACCTCCTGGTTCTTTGTTACCACAGTCCTTTGTTATACTTTGTCGGTCTTGCGTTTGTTTGTAAATAAGTATATTTTTGTCAAAACCTCTTATCTGTGTCTATGATTGTAGAATCCCAATTCTGTTGGGAATTTTTCCGGAAACCTGAAGAATAATCCGACCATGGATTCCGTAGACGCAGACACGATTAGGAACGCTTCGATCGATTAGGGTCACGCGTCACGTATTTAGTCAACCGAGGTATGCTCCCAGTCGACTCTTGCCTGCCAACCCGCGATGACTAAACGCAAACCCAAATTACCACACCTGTTATGTTATGGAGGAGAGCCTGGGTTGCTTGGTCGATTTATACGCCTGTGTAGCCTTATTTTTGAACAGCAACCATCCACGTATGCTAAGGACGGTTCAAAGATCGCTTTGATGATGAGTCTATTGACTGGCAAGTTCTTGGGCTATGACCATGAGCAATACGTGCCGCAAACTTTGGTCTTTCTTCCCAGACTTTCTCGCTGCCTTTCGTCGGGTGTTTCACCATCTGGTCTGGGGTAAGGTAGCCGGAGGGCAATTATTGGACTGTGCACAGGGTAGTCAGTCAGTTGCTGACGAGCCCATAATATTTTGTATTTTGGTGGCGCAGAGTGGTTTCGACAACTGAGCCCTAAAAACCATTTTGCGCAGTGGACTTAGTACCTCAATCAAGGACGAGCTAGCAGTCCACGATGAAGAAGCCTATCTTAAGGAACGCATTAGTCTTGCCATTCGTTTGGACAATCAACTAAGGGAGAGAAGCTGGGAACGTGGAGCAGAGTGATATCAACCCAAGCCCGAGCCCCGTCCATTTACCAGTTGTAGCTGTCCATGGTGAGGAGCCGATGCAGCTCGGTGGCGGCCGACTGAACACCAAGAAGAGACGGCGGCGATTCCAGTCTGGTGCCTGTTTCTACTGCAGTAAACAGGGTCACAGAGTAGTGACATGCCTGACAAGACCTTCACACACATCACGCCAGTCCGTGCGGCATGGTAACTAAGTCAGACACACCCACCGCCGGCAACGACCATCAGACTTCAGGTGTTTCATCGATCCCATTGTGGTCAAAAGATTGACTGTTCGGCCTCACCGCGGTCTTGCTCTGATGGCGTGAGAAATGCGATGCCACAGATGCGTGGGGCTTCCCACCTCAGTCGCCATCAGCGGGGTGTCTCGCCTCACTGATTAGATGGAGAAGCGACTCATTGGTCTGAAGGCCCATGCGCCCGAATGTCAGTGCTATGCCTTGGTTCTTCAAATGGTAACCTGTCGAATGCTTGGCCCTTCTTTTGCCCCATGTGTACTCATGGTGTCACAAAAAGGTTGGGAACCACTGTTGTTGGACACGGGTGTCAAACTCAAGCCCCAAGGACCCGGTCAGGACCATCCCATTATTTTACACGGTAACCCAAAGCAAACCATGCTTCAGCTTCCAGGACCCTTGTAAAAACATGTACCAACATTTTCAATCGTCATGTGTCATAAATAACGTTGAGACTTCTTACAGTAATTTGAAAAATGACAGTGAACTACGACCCTTGACCTCTGATATCAAAATTAAGAATCTATCAGTTTGTTGTGTATGACATAATAGCATGATGAAATGATTAAACATTTACGTCTTTGGTTTCGCTGTCATAAAGGCCTTCTAAGGGAGGTGGCCCATGACAAAAATTAGTGTAGACCCACAAATTACCGCCAGAGACAAATATCAAAACCTCTTTCAATAACAACTGCAATTTCCACAAGAGCTGCACTATTAAACCATTTCTATTTTATAAGTGTGTATGTTTTATTTATAAGGTGCGAATACTCTCATGGGAATACCTACATGAAGGTCTTTATTGTTTTGTGTTACTATGAAGCGCTGCTGCGCCGTATCTGAGAAAGGAAGAAATCACAGAAGGGAAGAAAACATAGCTGCCATCTATAGACTAATAAAATCGTGGTCATCAAGGGACTTGTCTGCTTCATATAGAAAGCCAGGTGGGGGGCAAAAGGTGTGTGTGTGGGGAGGGGGGGGTGTAATAAAATCCACCCTGGTAAATCTGCTGTGACCTTTATTTCAGTCGCTACCTTGAATACGTATCATTAGCTGCTCTTGCCTCAGCATGCACTGTGCAGCTTTCCGCAAACTTAAAGCAAGTGTGGCTCTCACGTGTTTTTTTTTTTCCCTCAGTCTTTCAGACCTTGACATGGGAAGCATGTAAAAATAGCACCTATCAAGGTAACACCGTCAACCCCCCCTCCCCTGCCAATCTGCTGTTCACCAAACACCGATGCGGTCACCCAGCAAATTTATTGTCAGTTTGCAATGCTCCGCTGAAGCAGAGCCATCCATTCCAACAAGCTCCTTATGTTAGACGTAACAAGTACTTCACAACTGTTCAAAAATGTAATATCCATGACCACCCGTGTCAGGTAATGCCATGTTAATGTGCATCAATTTAAAAGGCTAATGTAAAGCTACAGGTTAAAGGTCCAGAATTGAGAAGCTTCCAAAGGGTCTTTGCCATGTTTTGTACTGTAATTGTTGTTGGATAAAGGGCTCAAATGAAAGCTCACACCGTACAACAAATTGTATGGGTCATATTTATTTGAAGGTTACCACCGCATTGTGCTCGGAGAAGGGGGACGGAGTAGAAACATTTAGGATTGTGGCCTTTTCTGGATTACATTGCTTGTGCTGTTGCCAAGACGACCGCAATTAGAAATGACTAGGTTACCAGGCAACCATAGCAACCAACCAAGGTGAAAGCGAAAGCGCTGGCTTTACCTGTTTTTTAGGAGTAGGGCTCGTACAATGGGATTGAAATTGGGCGCTTCACTTGGATGATATATGACATTTAATGTAAGCATTCGTTTGCTATTCTGCTAAACTGTATACGGAATGGCTTAGACATACTCGTTCAAAATCAAACGGTGCTCAAAGGCTGATTGCGGGAAAACAGCACTCGAGTAAAAACCACACAATAGACGTAGACAATCCATTTTTCCCCGCCAATCTTTCTTCGTGGACTAAACAGCAGATGATGTGTCCTGTTTGTGGGCCTGCTGTGTGAGCTTTCTGTAATTAGATGATTATCACAGCATGTTGTCAAACATCAGTTTACGCAAACAAATATAATGACAATGACATAACATTGCCCCCGCTAATCGCAGGAAATCTTGGGTTTCACATCTTGACCAGATCGTGATAATATAGCCATCAGGTCTCGCATTGCTGCTTTCTCATTTCCACCAGTCTCGCCACTTTTTGCATGGCCATCATCTCCTTTCTCTCCTTTCATCTTTCCATCGGTGAATGCTTCTTGTGTAGCCCTGAAGCGCCATTGCGCAGTCTTCCAGACTCACGCACACACACGCCTCACAGGTTCACTGTGGTGTGTAACCAGAGGCTAAACCTAGAGGAACACTTAATCCCTCAGCACCTGCTCCTCGCACCATCGTGACCCCTTGCAGCTGGACGGACATGTGCCTTCATGTCTGTTTGTTACACACGTTATGTATCAGCAACTTGGCATTCATTTCAGAGGTGTTGTAAGAGGTTTGCGAGAGGAGGTGTGTCAGACCATTTGCATATTTGTGAATACTTCTGAGTGCTTAATGTTGCTTAATATTCAGCGCATTTGTTTGCAGGCTGCGTGACCGCCATACAATTCAAGTTCAATTCTGAGGCCACAAATCCATTCGTTGTTTTCGCAATGCTGAGACCATATGCAGTAAGAGGCGGTAATTATTTGATCCACTGCTGAATATCAAAATTAGAAATAGAAATAAGAAATTCAGTTTTATGATTGTTTTGAGTGAAAAATGTGTTTTAAAAAAAATGAACGTTGCAGTGAATTTTACTGAGAGAAAAAAAGCTCGTCAAAGTTCGGAGCCTTCTGTTGGAAAACCCTTTGTTGGTCTGAACAGGGGGTCGGCAACACGCGGACTGATGTGTTTTGGGTCACTGTTATGCCTGAAGACCCATCCACCATAACTCAATTTTGGGGCTTTTGCTGAAGAAAGAAGGTTTTTGTCCAAGATTTCTCAGTAGGTGGAGTTGTAACATGCTCGGTGGGCCCGTTTTAAGAACGTGGGGAACAGCAAGATGGCCGTGACAATGGAGCTGCAGTGGATCCCGAAAGAATCTATGCAGCAGTGCATGAAGGCATAGCAGAGAAGTCTCGATATTTTCTTTGTGACACCACTCCGGTAACCTTTCTCTCAATTCATATGCCAATACTGCTGCTGTGAAATCATACGAATCCCATTAAAATCCCATGCCACTGACAGCAGCAAGAAGAATAAATGGTTCTCATGCAGAACAGGACATTTGTCATTCATCATGAAACATCAAGGCAAAAAAAACATACCAGTTGCCCTCATTTTGCACATTTAACAACAGAGAGTCAAAAAAGGAGTGTTTAACCCAAAAGATATATAGCTAAGTCAAAGATAAGTCCAGCAATTAGAAGAATCGGTTGCCTACTGTTACTTCTATCTGTTTTTTTTTTTTTTTACCCTTCTTGGTTTCAGTAAACAAAACACAAATACAATATAAAAAAACAAAGCGATCAGTTTATTATGATAAAACAAACATTACATAGACATAAAAACAAACCAAGTAAAAAAGAATAATTTAAATGCCCTTTCCCCACTTTATAAAATGATGTGCTTGTCGTACCATTTGATGCACAATTCCCAGTATAAACAATCATTGGTTCCTCTTGGAAGCTCAGCGAGAGACGGTTTCCAAGTACTTTCTTGCAGAACTCCATCACCACTTGAGTGTTACTTCTCCATCTTTAAGTGTTTTGGCTGGGGAGGAGGAGGCAAATTTGAGCCCTTACTACAGAGAAAAAGGCCAACTGACCGCTGAACAAAGAGGGAGCGGTGGCGTAAACATTGATGGCCGTTCCCATCAAGAAGCGTCACCCCTTTCTTTGTACCTAAAAATGTCTGTTTGAAATGTGTCCTCCTGTTCTTCATGCATAAACATGCCTCATGTGGAAGTTGACCACATACTCAGCATTCGTGCGCTGGACAGAAATGGCAAAGGGTTCGAAAGGGTGGAAGGTAAAAGCCACCAAGCGCCGCACAGCGTGGTTGACCGGCCGTCCGAGCAAGCCCGCCTGGATTTTGAACTTCAGGAGGCCAGAGTCACGTGCATAGAACCTGGTGTGTGTGACAAGACAACTTTTTGATGCATTTGAAGATCATTTTTGACCCCAGCTGCAGCTTCTCCATCGAAATGAATGGGAATGCTATTAATTGTTTCCAGCAACACACAGAATTTTTTAAAAGTACAACCGAACTCAGTTTTGCTTCCGCTGCCTTTTTAAAAACACAGTGCACCTTGTGTATGTGCTAACTATAGAAATAGCACCCATAACAGACTGTGCCTTTAAATACGGTGCGCCGTATTGTCGTGAATATACAGTACGGAAAATAGCGCTTTTCTAGCAACATTATATTATAAAATGCAACATAACCCTGTAACACCAATAAAATGGAATGTAAAGAAATAAACAGTTTCTTAATTGCTGTATTTTTCACATCACTTTCTCAGATTTTAATTTTGATCGGGGTTTTTTCTCCATATTTTCCACTCTACTCACTTTTAGCACCTACTCCATCTTTTAATGGGGTGACGTTTAGTGCTTAGAAATATAACATCCTGGTCTGCTGGTTCAGCCTTTATTCACTCATTTTGTAGGACCCATGGTTTGAAAAATATATGGCAAAATACTTTAGAACAAAAAATAAATGAATAAAAATGGAAAAACCACAACAGACTCACTCCGCGTTAAAACTATGTGAAATGATGGTGAGCGGACGTTGTAAAGTTTGCTGCTGCGAACTAGTAGTGGAGTGTCTGCAGCTCACTGGTAAGCCCAATTTTTGCTTGCTGTCAGAGTAAAATTGACTGAGCGGTGGCTTGTAACGCGAAACACGGTTAGGATGGAGTACTTATCAGTTAGAGATACCGCTTTATGTTTGCAATTTCCCCCCGATTTGATCGCTACCTGATTGGGTGGTCTCCGCAGGTCTTAGGCCTCTCCATCACGGACACCCACTTGTCATCGTAGCTGAATAGTGACAGGTCAAGGTAAGGGCTACTGCTATAGGATTGCGCACTAATTGGCAGCTGACCCAGCAGCCGGCGCACCGCCTCTGTATGGCCGCCATATTTGGCATTCACAATGGTGTCTTTGAATCTGAGTCACAGACAGAGATGCAAATCAACACTGAGAAGTCAGCAGTCTTAAATTTCAATCCTGCTATCGAAAAGTACATTAAAAATCTATCATAGCAGTGTGGTTTCCCTTCATTGTACCTCCTTTGGACTTGTCGAGCATAGTTATTTGAAGAAGCTGAACAGGGGAACTGGACAGCCTGGCTGTGCAGCGTGGCATTTCTGTACAGGTCGCAGAAATTCTCAAACAGCTCCAGCAGCTGATCGGAAGTGTTCTCGAAGACGGCCAGCACCTCGGTCGACACCATGTTGTACACAACAAAGAAAGACGGCTGCCACAGAAAGAAGAGGTTTTCTTTTGAGAGATTCGAGGTAGAATAAATGGGGAAATATTTACTGTAATACTAAGGAGTGAAACCCCCCCCAGCAATACTGCAGCTAGGAATGCCAAGACGCTGCAGGAGTCTTAAACATTCTTGTGTACGTTTGCAAAAGAATTTTTTTTTTTAAATGCATAGAAATATGGTTTAATTAAATTCTTCTGTTGATATCCTGAATGAGTCACAGGACTGAACCAAGTCTGTAGAAGAGACGGCCCTTGGAGACAAGAAAAAAGGAATCCTTTTCATACAGCACAGACAACAAAAGGCATGAGGCAATAGGAAAAACCCAACAAAGAGCGCGTGTGTGCACGCACACGTGTGTGTGTACCTGTGAGGGGTCTGTGACCCTGAGCGTAACCACATCTTCACTTGTGTATTTAATAAAGAGATGATGCTCATCCAGCAGCTGCATCTTCCACATCCTTAGTCTTCTCAGCTGATCGAAAAACTGGAAAAATCTAACAGGAAGATTCAGAAGAATATGAAAAAAAAAAAAAAAAAAAAAACAGCAGCTACCGTTGCAAGAAAAAGTATATCTAAATATCCGTCAAACCACACAGGACTATGTATTAGTTTTTTGCTAAAACATTTTTCATGCAAAACATAATTACGCAATGATAATTGGTTCAGAAAATGAAAGAATGGATGTACAAATCCTATTCCAATTAAGTTGGAAAATTGTGTTAAACATAAATAAAAAAGGAACATAATGATTTGTAAATTATGATCAATGAATATTTAATTAAACACACTCCAAAGACAACATGTTTCATTTTGAAACAAAAAAACTTAATTGTTTTTTGCAAATAATCATTAACTTTGAATTTTGTGGCTGCAACAATTTCCTAAAGAGCGAATGGTTATTCGTCTCTGTGTGTCCTGCGATTGGCTGGCAAGCAGTTCACGGTGTCCCCCACCTACTGCCCCAAGACAGCTGGGATAGGCTACAGCAGGGGTCCCCAACCG